TCCTTTAATTCCAATACAGAAGAGAGGGGTACGAATGATCTTATTTTTAATAAGATCAATCTTATTTATAAAGAATCCCATAAAATCATTGCTGCTAAGAGCAGGTGGAATGGACTGTTCAACTGAGCTATGGCTCTGGGTGAGTTTGGCAACTGGATTAAAAAGAAATGTAGGATTATTCTTATTCTCCTCTATTAAATTATTTTCTAGCTACATTTGTTGTTTCTACCTGGTTATTCTCTGCTGCCCCCTAGTGTCTTTTCCTTTCCCCTTAGTTCCTTCCAGTTACTTCTGTCCACAGCTGCTCCCTATTAGCTCCTCAGTCCTCCCATTGTTTCTGTCTCACATATATACACCTTCTGTCCTGTTCAGTTCCTCGCCATTCTTTAGGTTTCTCTCCTAATTTCTTGGTTCTTGAGTTTTCTTGTCGATCGGTTCTGGACTATGGATTTTGTATTTTTATTTCTTCATTAAATTTTGCTAGCAATCACCTCTGCCTCTTCTACTCTGCATTTGGATCCACTAGAACATCCACCAACCCTGACAGCACCTGGCTGAATTAAAGGATATGAAAAAACTTGATTATCTCTTTTCATTTTCTATGAAGCTCAAGTTGTGTCTGTGATTAACTGGGAGCAAACTGGTCCAAAGAGAACATTATTTCTGCTGGGATGTTCATTTAATTTCATTTCATATTTTGGCATTGAGTTTCAGATCAGCAAAGCTTCCTGCTAAATGTCTCTGTGTTCTTTACAGGAAGTGATGTCAGTGGATGAGGAGTCCACTTCCTGCTACTGCCTGATGGATTCCACCAGCTGCCACCTGCTGCTGGACCAGCCGGGCTCCTACGCCCTGGTGGGCGAGCCGCTGACGCAGGCTGCTGTGAAGAGGCTGAAGCTGGCCGTGTTTGGGAGCGTGGAGTCGGGCCCTCTGATCTACAGTCTGCGGGTCTACTGTGTGGACGACACGCCACACGCCTTTCAGGTAGGAACAGGAGGCCCACGCTCTGCTTGATGATATTCCTCCAACCCAAAGCCTGATTTCCTTTCTGACTCCTCCAATGCGTGTCAGTATAGACATGCATGTTAAGCCNATTGATTGATTGATTGATTGATTGATTGATTGATTGATTGATTGATTGATTGATTGATTGATTGATTGAGGTTGGCCCTGATTGCCACGGCGCCATTTTTCTGCCACTCGTTGGTTTTAATCTCACCAGATGACCGGATGTTAACGTCTACGTTTTTCATGAGGTCCGCCTGCTGGAAGAGTCAGCATCAGAGAGGCTCATGATAAAACATGTCTGTTGTTCATCCGTTCAACTATTTCTGGGGTCAAAGGTGATTCAGTTCAGACCAGTGATGGCTGGTTCTCTCCAGGGGGCGCTATGACTCCAAAATAGACGTATAGCATATATTATAAATATACCTATATAGTATATTTACATGAATGCCAACAATAAATAACATCATCCTAAAATGTTCTGCAAAGTGCTTTAAATCAGTCCTAGCTGACGTTTGAAAAAGGAGGCAGGGAAAGCAGAATAAAGCCTTAGCTTCGCTGCATGCAGTTAGCTTAGCCTCGTAGCTAAACAATCCCATAAACCTGTCAATCAGAAGCACTTTCTAACAGACGTCTGTGACGTCAGCGCTGTGGAGGGAGGTGGTGAGCAAATAAAGCTGCTTTCAGCTCTGGGTGCAGGAGAGCTGCTCCCCAGGAGGCTCCTATCTTAGCATTGAAGAGGAGCTGCTGAGCTGGACGACTTTAACCAGAGTCTATGGGGGAAGATTTATGGATCGTCCCCCATAGACGTCTCCATAGACGTCTCCAATCTGACAACGAATGAAACAGCTTTACTCGTCATTAAAGATTAAATATTTATCTCGACATTTAAAAAATATATGAACATATTTATAAAAATTAAAATTTTATTATATAATGTCATTGGGTGAGTGGGGCGGCGCCATAGCGCCCTCTATTGGCCAGCTGCCACTGGTCCTCAGAATCCCTTTTTTGTAATTTTTCTCGTTCATTTAAGACCTACTTTTGGTTCTGATCTGCTAAATCTGGGAATTCATTAAATAACAGATAAGTTCTTTAGTTCAGAAATGCTTTATTGATCTGCAGGGAAATTAGATTAACACAATAAAAGTTCATTATGGTGGAAGTGATCGCACACTTGTTTGGCAACTGCTTTCTCAAGAATTTTAGATCAGAAAGGAAGAT